CCATATCTCAGGAACTACTCGACCGATTTCAATGAAATGCGGTATATAATAATATGTATAACACCCTGATGACATGTGCGAAATATGGGTGAAATCCTTTCACAACCAYGCCTTCTTCCAATATAACGCTATTTTGAATTCCATCTGATGCCTTCCCTGTATAATATATACATTAGGAACCAATGATGATAGCGGAATAAAACTTTACACAAATACGGTATTTGAGCTGAGGTATCCCTTGTGGAAAAATWGTCGTGATCGGACTGTAACTTTTCAAGGTCCCTGATAGCGGACACGAAGAACTCAGTGCCTAACCTAACYTAACCTAATTTTTCACCCAAAATATCGGTAAATCTCTCAGATATTTTCAAGTAATTCAGAGGGCATCATTTTTATACTCTCACAATAAATTTGCTTATAACGGTATATATCGTCAGATATATATGGTTACATATACCAAAGTGATCAGGGTGACGAGTAGCGTTGAAATCCGGATATCTGTCTATCCGTCCGTGCAAGCTGTAACTTGAGTAAAAATTGAGATACCTTGATGAAAGTTGTCATGCGAGAGTATAAAATTTTCGGGGACACCCGAACTTAACCCTTCCTTACTTGTTTTTTCTAGTTTTCGTACTTGCATTAGTTAGCTCTTAACCTCATTGACTCTTGCAGGAGCTCTCATATAATATGCTASAACCAAATTAAAGGAATTTCAGTGAAGAAAAATTATTTCAATGCGACTAAATTTGCCTGAGTAACTGCTGAAATGAAACTTATACTAGTACTAAGTTCTTTATACCAGTTTTTACTCGCATATAATCGCACTCAGTTATACAATTATACGAATTGTGTACTATTTCGCAATTAAAAAAAATCGTAAGCTGTCTGTCTTTTGACAAAATATCAGTTATAATCAATATCCATATTTAACATTGTATATTGTCAACTAAAATGTAAAATAACGTAACATCACTTTTCAGAAGTTTACGGGCGAAGGAGAAATGATCTGATAGGAACCACTGATATTTAAACAAAATTTGAGTTTTTATTTAAAATGGTTATACTATATATGTATTGGTTACATATTGGTTACATCCAACGCTGGAAACTGAAAATTTTACGCTACATATATGTAATTTGATGTAGTGGATCGTAAGTATTAAAAAACGCWATTTCGACTTTTTTGGTGATATATGCTTTTGCATTTTAGGTRACGATATGCAAGATATCTTTTTAAAACAACAGTAAAGCTTTTRTTGTCAATTAAGAACATATGCAAATGCAGCTAACGAAGCTATTATCATATWAGTTTTCAATCTAAGCTTACTCTGCATTCACTTTTAACTTCRAAAAAGATGTAATTTTGAAAAAATAAGCAAACAGTTGAGTTAATTTGAGCTGTCACTTACCTTATATAGTTTCTCCTTTTGATACCAYACATCCTCCTCCTCTTCCTGTGGACTAAAAGTCTGATCCAAATTCAGATCATCTCTAGAACGTGAAAGAATCTTGCGGCGTGACACCATGATGCTGCACAACAAAGAAAGAGAACAAATAAGTTAAAAGCATATTAAAAAAAAATATTTTAAAAATCGGGAACACTCAACAGCAATTTTAAAAATATTGTTATTAATAACAATAACCTCGATTTCCGAGAAAGCGTCAATGAATATAATTTAAGTTAAATTACAGCTGTGCCAAATTGCTTAAATTGCGTTGTACAATAATAAAAACAACAATTTATGAATGGCAATGAAGCGCGAAATTAGCGCAGCAAACGCAATGACTCGACGGTTTTCTTGGCGCGTTCTTGCAGCGTCACATTTAGAATGAGAATAWCACTTTTGGGCGGATAAATAAATTAAGTAACACACAAAGGGCGACAAGAGCTTGAGTAACCAAGTGCAAAAATAACAAAAATATAATAATTGCAAATTAAGAATTGTAGATATTGCATTTGAGGGGCTGCTWACACTATACCCTCGCTGTTGTTTTTGTTTTGGTGACTGCAATTCAAAAACTCCTCAATCGTTAAGAAAAGGATTTGCGCAAAAACTAAAATTAATGAAGCCCTGCTAACTTTTGTTTGTTCGCCATATTTCGTGTGCACTTTGTTGCATTGTTATCTTTTTTTTTTTTTATTTTGTTCTTTGTGTTCCCGCACATTTGCTTGACCTGTGTCCAAAAAGTAATAATAATATGCAATATTTATTCACTGAAGTGTGTGAGTTGTTGAGTGTTTGTCCCCTTGAGTTGTGGGACACACACACACATGCACTCAGCGCGAGAGGTGATTGAACCTTTTGGCCGTTGCTTGGGACACCAGGAAGTGCACCGCAATGTGCCACTGTCCAGTTGGTGGTCTTGTTGTTTTTGTGGCACACTTCAAAGCAAATGCCGCCAACATTTGGTGATTGACTGTCGACATGCCTTGGCCGTGGGCATTTCAATGACAATTCGGTTTTCTCTGAARCATTGTGAGTATTCTTTGGTGTTCTGTTGGTTGGAATGCATACTGAACGTTTRTGAGTAAGATTTTTTAAAAGTTGAGTTTTTTTTTTTTTGTTCTACAACTATATTAATAGTTGGTGGATGTGTGCTTTCAGAGATAAGCACTTGTATATGCAGCGCTAACTCTAAATATGCTAAAGTTTTCCAATACGTATAAATGCGACCGCTAAGTCATAATGGTTTAACGTATACAGTACACAACATGCAATTTAGTTTATTTAGCCAAACAGAGTATATTTCGAACATTARTGAGCTCCTTAAGGATCATAGACAGTTTTGTGGCTACATGAAACAAGTACTCAGGTCAAAATATATTACGAATTTTTAATTTAAATTTCACGCGAAAACCCATTCGCCGAAAAGCTCTTTTGGAGTTGATATAACTGTCAGTGACATCTGTGTCAATCATAACATCAAAACATCATTAGTGTAGGCTTGTATGCTTGTCTTTCTGAAGTACACAAAATGCATTCGGCGATTTTAAAAATTAGTGAATTATTCAAGACATTTTGTGCTCTGATTCAAAATTCTGTTGCTCAAACGTTTMGAATGTTAGAAAAAGCCTTCGGTGGAAATTTTTTGCTGCGAATAGCCGTTTTGGATTGGTACAAATTATTCAAAAGGGTTCAGAATACATTAACCACGAAAAACGTTCAGGACGGYCATCAACATCAACTGATGATCAACACTTAAATAAAATAAAGGAATATCGTGAAATATATTATTACTGGCAATGAGTTTTGGATCTATGCTTACAACTGGAAACAGACAATCAATCGGCCAAACCKTGTGACAAAGGTGAGCCGAAGCCGAAGAAATCACATCAAAGCAGGTCAAAACTCATAGTTATATTGACATTTTTCTTCGATTATCGAGGTGTGTTGCACTCCGAGCTACTTCCGACCGGCCAAATTCTCAACCAGGAATACTATTTGAGTGTTATGCGTCATTTGCGCGAAGCTTTTCGTAAAAACAGGCAGGAATTATGGCCTGAATAGAAAAATATGAAAGCTCTTTATTTTTACACGACGTTMATGCAGCGTCATAGATTTTTCGTGAATTTTTCGCAAAATTTTCAAACAATATCGGACCGCAACCACCATATTGCTTTACTTAACTTTGTGTGACTTCTAGCTATTCAGCAAACTCAAATGACCGCTCTGGGGAAACCCTTTTGAGTCAATTGAAGGCTAAAAGTTTAGTGTGCTSAAGGAGCATTACTTTTAAGGGATCGACAGAAATTTGGAAGAAGATTTTAAAATTATGTGCAAAGTCTCACTAGTTTTTGTTTATAGCTCATTTCCCTTATATTTTCATTGAAACTTGTTATGACAAAAAAGGCAGGCTGCTTACCAAAAGTCTTCTACTTAATCATTGTGACATTTATGGCTTTAATWGGATTATCTAGGGGTAARGAAGCGTATGAAGTAATCTCAAAAATGCGGAGAAGAAACTTCTTCATTATTACTATAAAGCTAGAATGATTTTGGCRTTGTAAATATACATTATATTATAGAGACTTTCATAAGAAAAAGTAGTGGAATAATTAGAAATAACTGTGTATGTTGGCGGATAAATACAATTTAGAATATGGCTGAGGTAAAGCTAATATTATTTTTTAATGCATCTTCTGTTCAAAAAGTGTAGTAATTGAAATTACATTTATACTTTTTGGGCATTAGTAGTTAATGAGCCATCCCTAACACCATTTGTAAATCGAGTAAACAACTATTATAAAATTAAAAGACTAGCATAAAACAAATAGAAATRAAAAAGCAAACATGTATGGTGTTTTAAAACAGGCATACACGTATTCATTTTTAACAGAGTTCCTACTTTCTCAAGTAAATGGTTTGATAATAAAATCGAACTATATTTTTTTGTCTACTTTTTCGTTGCTTAAWACTTTCTATTAAATAAAAGTGAATATACATTTTTTAATATCTACGTAAAGCAATAGACTGAGGCTAAAAACTTTAAAAATTGTAAAAAGTGTAATAATTATAGGAGAATAAACGCATTAGAAAAGKAAAAGAATATAACAATAAAGAAGGTTAAATAAAATTAAAAAGAATGGTTGAGTTTTTAAGTATTCAAAAATGTTTAACTCGGTTTCCGACAAAACTACGARTCCTTTGAAAAAATGGTGTGCTAAAGATATAGATAATAAAAAGATTTACAGTTTTTGATTAAGCCATTTTTAACATTCCCACGGTTTTTTTACGAAATTAGAGGTAAAATTTTTTATTTGAAATATTATTTGTCGCTCTATTTTAACTGCATATCGAAAAGAAGAGGAGAGAAATTAGTATAATTTTTAATTGAAAATTTTCACGTCAAAATATCGTTTTTTTAAAACAGTCTGTGTTCTTTTTCCCTATTTCCCTATCTGTTCTTTTTCTTTATTGAAATGTATACATTCTGTGGTGTAGAAATATATTTTACTACTGTGGACTTTCACTGAAAATGCAAAGAAAAAGCCAACTAAATAATTCCAATTAATTTCTTTGCCACAAAATAAGAGCTCAAACACCAGTATGCATGAATTTGTTATTGTTTTTTTTTTTTTTTGTTTTGTTTTTGTTTGTATAAAAAGTTGCTGATTATTTACAAACATTTACTTCACTCTCAACGCTGACGTCAAGTATTAACAATTTTGAAATATGCCAACGCTGTTGACATAAAATACTAAATTGACGCGCTCTCAATATTCTGAATACAAAAACAAATGTGCCAAAAATTCTACTTGAAAGCAATCCCGGCTTTCAGGTCATGCACGGAATCACGCAACAATAAAAAGCACAATTTCCAAAGATAAAAAATCACTTAAGAAATACCAAATTGAAACATGAAACACCTGTGAATGCGGAGAAAGTTGGCCGAATGTCAAAAGCACAACARCAATTCAAAGCGAAATATGTCGTTAAAAGCATATGAGTATAACTACTTACAACTGTGTGTGTGTGTACGTGCGAGTATGTATGTATACACATGTGTGTTGATTTGTGTGTCTAAACCACCCACTTGCTTCTAGCAAGTGCGGCGCGGATGTAGAACACGCATAAAGAATGTTTGTAGAACACATAAAACGGACGGACAGACAACAGAAATATGTAAAGAAGACACAATAAATACGCATAMACTTTTTATATTTACCGAACACATGGCAGGTACTTTGTAATGAGCCACAGCACGCCCATTCTGTGTTGCGCTGCTGATAAGGAGAAGATGCGACGAAGGCGGAGCGAAGAGCGTCAAACGCCAGAAGGCAATAAATCACGAGATACACAGCGACTGTCGGCTGTTGACCGAGCGTTGTGACGAATTGTATACAAATTACCGAGATATGTACGTGTGTAAAGCGCGCACTGTTAAACAATTAGTAGKCGAATCAAAAGACTCAAGCGACGAACTCGCGCACGTAAAATTCTTAAATACTTGATGCGGATAGGAATGGTTTGAGAATTTTCAAAGAATTTAAGACGAGCGCATGTAAAAAATAGCAGGAAAAAGCACACACATGGCAAGTCGAAAGTAAAACAATAAAAACAATAAAAAATAKTTTAATGCAAACGAGCAAAAAATCACTGGCTGGCGTTTTTTTGCTTTTAATGCCACGGCAGCCACACACAGCCACGTATATACACAAGGGAAAGCACAAAAAAACAACAAACACACAACGTTGTCACATTTAATTGTTAAATTATGCACTTGTAATATTTTCTCCAAATGTAATGCATGCAAATTAAGAATTCTTAACGGCAACAAGAATGACCACGCCGACGACAACAGCGACAAAATGCACTTTTTACGGTGAAAATTTCAACTTTTCAATTTTTAATATTTTCTTCATATACAGTATATATATAAGTATATGCGCGTGTGTGTGTAATTTTATTAAAATGAGTTTCCGATGCGTGTCTGCGATTAACGCGTATCGTTTAGCGCGCTGCTGCTTCACCAACTGACAGCGAATGAGTTGTGTGTGGCTTTTGTGCCATAAAGACGGTGAAAAATTGAGCGACGTTTTGGCGACTGGCCCATAAGTGCGCGCCCAAAAACAGCAAAAGGCGGCCAAGTTAAGTCAAGGCGCAGTGGCGATGACAGCAGCGGCTGGAAAGCGGGTCGGCGCGCCGCTGCCTCAGTGAGTGAATGAATGAAAACCAACCTTCGATTAATTTGTTAAACGCAATGCCACGCAAAAAATATGCACGCAAACACACATCCACACATATACAACTCTATAAGCACATACAATACATTTGCCTACTGCATTGCCCACCCGCGCGTTTTTCATTGTAAGTGACGCCTGCGCGCTACAGCGAACGGAAGACAGGCGCAGCCGCAGCGCTGACATGGTGAAAAAGGCTGATGCGCACAAGCACTTCAAAAGAATTATTTCCAATTGCATATGTATGTGTGTGTGCGTGTGTGTGCTCTATCGTCGATCAGGTGAGTAACGTTACGTGGCGTCACTACTTCAGAGCCGCGACACCTGTGCGCTTCGCATTCCTGAGCAGTGCTCAAATAAATTCAATATTTTTCTACATACATACTTTATATACACTATAAATAAATATAACATATACATACACACATACATAATATACATTCATACATATATGTAAAGCGCACTTCTTAACTTCTCATTTCTCGCTTTTACTTATAAGCTTTGGTTCTTCGTGTTGTTGTTGTTGTCATGTTGTACTCTTTTTGTTATCGCTGAGTTTGTCGTTTGTGTCAAGCAA